TTAATTGGCAATGAATTGAAATTGCGAAGCTCCGTGCAAGATTTGGTTTTAGTTACAAAATGTTGAAAACTCATAAACATACAGAGGTGACAGGCATACTAAAGCGGTGCAACATTATATGTTTCAGATTGTAACAGAAGATACAATCGAGCAAAAGACAGTTAAGCTTCTTGTTGATCGGTCAGAAAATAGAAACAGAATCAAACACGATTACCTTCATATACAAGTGATCTTCAACCTTCGGAGATTTCTGAACAATCTGGACTTGACCATCCATTTCTTCTTTAACCGTGAACTCATATTCAGACTGCTGATATTGTCTTTCATCAGATCAAAGAGAGTGATACGAAACAGGTAATGAGGATACAAATTTCAAATTAAAAGAAAAATAACCTTCTGCTTGTTTATCGTGTAACTGTCTTTTCTAGTACTTGATAAAACACCTTCCTTCACAAGTTTGTCCATTATTTCTGAAATTAATCAAAAGAAATTAAAAATGGTAGTAGTAAATGTAGAAAACATATTATTATAGAAGTTGAAATCCAGCACGGTAGTGTACTCCCTTTCTGTTTAAACTTTAATGTGGACCAAGTCTTTAATTTACCTTCAATTAAAACCTGTATTTGTGCAAAATGGTATGATTAAAGTCTGGATATTGTGACAATAAGAATGGATAAAGAAACTGCAGGATCTAAAAGACGACCCTACTGCTTATTTCTGGCCCTATTGGTCAAACATAAATTTAGGGAAAAAAATAGCACCCTTACCACTGAGATATCTGGGAAATTTGAGAGAACATCAGTAAGTTCAACAGCATCAAGATGACGATTATTGATCCAATCCTTCACCCTTGCCAATTGTTGTTCATCTTCCATGGGATCTTGTGTATCATCTATGCAGTAGATAACAGATTATTAGTTGTAAAAGAACCTAACCTAGAGATAAACAAAGAACTTAAAGAGAAAGTGGTAAGGTGAGAGGAAAATTGAAAAAAATAATAATAATGGCTTTCCCATCATCTTATCAATTTCAAGGGATACAATGTCTGACTCCTATTCTTAAAACTTTGAAATGTTACCTTCATCAACCATGCTATTATCTTCTTCTGAGTGTTGCTTATCTGACAGAATAACCAATGTTACTCACTGATCAAATTCCCTCAACAAAAACTTAGATAGGGACAAGATAGGGGGACAATGTGACTAGTAGGCTAACAGTTTAACTACCTACTGGTGCCACAATAAATTGGTCTTCTTGTGATTCATTAACCTGAGATCAGGAGCACAAATTTAAACAAAACCACAACACAACTCAACAATTTTAATAAGATGACGTCATTTGGTTTCATGTAAGTGCTGCACATGCTTTCGAGGGCAATGTACATAAATTGAACAAACGATACTGTTATTTACCTCATTATCAGAGTCAAAAGATTCATCTCTTTGAACAGAGTCAGCTCCTAGGCTTACTTCATCATCTTGAATGTCATCATTTTCATCCCCACAAGGATCAAGTACACTTTTCACCTGTACAACTCACCAGTAACAAAAACTTTGATTGAAATATGAACCACAATGTGATACCAGCATCCAAAAAGCCTTCAACCCTTACCTTGAGAGCTAATACAAAATGCTGGCTGTTGACATTTCCAACCTCCATTTTTAAAGGATTTTTGGTCCATGGATTATGAGCTTCCTCTTCCGTACAGCCTCTAAAGAATGGAGGCTCATAGTCCAATGGCTATGCTTGGTGAAATTAGTGCATTACCATTGTTAGGGTTGAATATAAAAAACTTTGTCAAAACAGTCATGTAAAACAGGAAAAATCACCACTTAGTCAAACAACATTGCTTGAGTTCAATATGCGTTACAAGGATGCAGCAGCTCATAACTTTTATGACAAACATTCGGAGAAGCAAACACATGCTTAAACAGTGAAGTCCACATACATGGAAAATAAGAATATTATAATTAATTTCCCATCTTTTATCAAACAATTGGGAAATTTTATACTAAATTAGCCATCAAGGTAAATGAAACCAAGGAGAAAAATTAGAAAGCCATACCGTCACATCATCATAGTAGAGGAGTTTCATCAATATGGTACGCTGAAGCAGAAGATAGAATAAATATGTCACGATAAAAATAATAAATATAGTTCAAAGTAAAATAAACCTTTTTAAAAAGCTTAGTAGCTAAAAATTTACCTCTTCTGGCATCCTATCCAGAGTTCTCATCAACTGAACCAGAGTGCGGACCATTTTACATGCAGAACTCCTGAATTTTTACATTGTCGCAGAAGTTACAACTTAAAAAAGGGCTATCATCAAACAAAAATTGACAGAAAATTAAACTGTTTTGAACGGATCTAATTTACACCACCTCATTTGATTGGGAGTAACTTCAGTGGTAGAGTTACACTTCAATGTCCCTCCTTGTTTCTTGTTTCCAGTGCGATTAATATTCATCGAAACCTCTTGGCTATCAGAATTAGAATAACTAAAAGAAACTGCATTGAGAAGGCATATTCAATTTATTAAATCAAGAATTGAACCACAAAAGCTTTGAAAATTATTATAAAATGGGTGAATCAGAAACTTTACATGAGTATTCCTCAATCATTGCTCCATCTACTGATTCGCATATGCAGAACAATAGTGTCTTCAGGTACTTTTTCTGTAATGCATCGTAGACGCCTGAGAAGAAGAGATAAATAATCAAATAATTAAGGTCAAGGAGGCGAAAATTATGACAAAAGAGAAAAGTGAAGAATCAGATGAAAACAACTTGCCTTTCTCCATCCAATCAATCAGCCTACGAGACTCTGCATCCAACGGCATTAGCTTCTTGATCTTCATCTCTGTCGAAAATTGTCACAATTTTTCAAGAAATTAGACAAACAGATTATGGAAAATCTAGAAAGAAGTTTGAGAAAATCTTAGAAGGAAAAAGATAACCTAGAGCAGGAACGGATTTATCATTGAAATACTTTTCAGGAAAAAGGGCTCTGATATAGCTGATATTGAATATAGCAATACGAAGCAAGTTTCTGGTCTGTTCAAAGAAAAACCAATCAAGAAAGATGAGATCAACTTAAATATCTTTATTATTAAAGCTTCAAAGCTTCTGGACCTAACTATTTGACAACAAAAATAAGAAACTCTAATCCATTTTGCAGCAATACGAGAAAGAGAAAAAGAAAGAAAAACAGAGCATTTTTTTCTCGTGAAGTTGCAGATGAAATGTAAGAAAACAGAATTGAAAAAACACAAACAGCGAGCTCTTATATATAGCTCAAGTCACAAATTATTGGCAAACAGACTCAAAGAGACTAGACATTATCATCTATGTGCAAAATTTTCATCGAACATACAAGCTGAAATCAATATGCTCAGATCAGAAGTACATTGGGTGCAAATAAAAGCGTTTTAGATCTGACCTTTTTGGAATGGTTAAGTTTCAGCGAAAAGCAACTAGAAGGGAGATTTTGATTTCTGCTTATGTTGCATTTATCAGATCGACGAACTCAAAATTTGAAGAAAAGTAATCCAATCAAAAAAGTTTTGTGGATTAAAGAAATTGACTAGGAACTTAGTATAAAACAGAAAACGAGCAAACTCGATGCTGTATTAAGCCATTAAATCCAGGCCAAGAAAAAGAATGAGCTAAAACTGGAGAGTTTGAATTTGATTACCAGAAGAAGCGAGTCCTGCTCAGTAATCTGCGACTCTTTAACTTTCTGTGCAACAACCTGAACCGATAAAACAAAAGAAGTTAATACGAGATTAGAGTAGAGAGAATATGACCGAAGACGTGAAATCGTGAAGATGAACCGAAAATGAATGGATTCGAAGGGATTTCAATGCTCACCATTGTTGGAGAATTTTAACAGAGAGGGAAAGCTGAGAATTCAAATGGGAGAATGAGCTAGAGAAATTTGGAGAGAAAACTAAAGCTCGTTTCGCTTGGAAATTTGAATCAAAGTAGAGAAAAAAAAACGAAGGTAACGGCGGGAAGAGAAACGAGCTTGAGGAGACGCTATTTATACATGCAAATGCCAAATGGGTGTGTGATGAACGATGAGGGTTGAAATTGTTGTTTTACATGAATACAAAGGGTGTTTTGGTCTTAGAGGACTAACGTGGCATCTTCTGCTTGGCCTATAAGTCATCGACTAAAACCCTCATTGTGTTGAATACCAGAATCGAGTCTGTTGCAGCGTTGGACCCACTTTTCAAATGGACGCTTAAGAAAACGAGAAACGGTTACATGAAAAGTACAGGTGAGCTCAACTCCCTTGTTGATATTGGAAGAGTTGCAACGCATTGAGTTAGCAAGCTCATGAAGTTTTTTCACCATCTTTCCTTTTTATTTTTCAAGTTTTTTACGATCTACGTCTCCCAAATATTTTCCAATTAACATATTTCTCAAATAATGGTATCAACACCCGTTAACTATTTAAATTCATTAATATTCGAATTTAATACTTTTATTTAAACTTCTAGAACAACAAATCAAACACTGTTTATGTACTTCAATTTTTTAAAATTCAACTTTAAAAAATTGACAAATTTTGAATTATTTATATTTAATATTTATGATTATACTGAATTTATTGAATTGAATTAAAACAGTTTTATCAAACTTTTTGATTAAGTTTAAGTAACTAAAGTAAATTATAAGATAAATTCCATCGTAAATCTCCATTGAGCTTCAAGCTTAGATGAGACAATTTTAGCTCATTTCGATTTAAAATGTCATTAACAGATTATTTAAACAGCTATGAATAACACAACGCTAAATGTGAGAGTTATTTTAGCTCATCTCCAACTCACATGAGCAAATGGCAAGTTAGACAGAAGAGGAGATTAATCCAAAATAAGCATTCATAGAAAACATTTGCCCCAAAAAAAAAAAAAAGCACTGATTTAGTTTCTCAAAATAATCCATTACCATGCAATAATAAATTAAGAAATTAGCAAAAATGATAACAGAAATGCAATTTCCAAATCTAATTTTTGGAAGGCTCCCTATTGGTGACAATTACTCAAGAAAGTTCTGAAACAAAGGGTACTTTAAGTCACTTTTCAGTCCATAACATGATTCTATAAATTCTATATTTATTTATTACAAAAAAAAAATTATTTCTGGACTAACATCATTCAGAGAATGCACACTGTCACCTATGTTATCCTTTCAGACTGTCCAACACACGACTACACCTTGAATTGTTTCTCTCCTTTCTGATTGAAATCACACTTTCAATTTCAAACCCTGATCATTCAGACAAGCCTCAACAAAGAGAATGGTATTCCTAGCAATAACCGTCTATTATACAGGACAAAATCAGTCCTATTCAAGCTATATAGCTTGGATTTGGAGTTCAGTTCACACTGACGTTCACCCTTCAAAGGGGTCTCCCCTGTTAGAATTTAAAGTAGGATAAGCAGCTGCAGCAATTTTCTCCCTTAGATTGAATTTCTTTGCAATCACTGGTCTGACATCTTCAACACCAACCAAGCTCTCCAAAAACGGAAGTAGCAAAAGCAGTTCTTGATCTGAACGGTCGTCAAACCAGCTCTCAATTGGTATTCCATTGTCTACTTGGAACCCAAATGCCTAAGAAGAAAGCCAACAAACACCTTGGTTAAATTTCAGTAACAATGCTTATCATGCCTTTGTACAGGGCAGGGCACAACAACATAAGAAATTGGCATGGTTTCATACAATTTCAAGTGCACAAAAACACTGTGCCATTATCAAGAGAGAGCATCACAGTTATGATCATGATAATAGAGTGTTATTCACCAGGAGGAAAAATATCAGACTCCACACACTTACACTCAGTGATTCTAGGCATGACCCCAGCAGTAAACAAGCATGAGAAGGATTAAACTATACCCCAAATTAGCCTTAAGAAAAATATTAACTGTTTGCCAAGACACAAACTAACAGTTCCATAGTTTCATCAAAATTTTGCCAAAGTGTAATCAACCACGGAAATATAATAACCAATAAGAAGACATTGATGTGTCTATGTGTCTTGTGTATTAAACCTGGAAATGAGAACAATAGCAAACATCAATTTTCTTAATGCTAATACCGTTACATTAGTGCTGAATGTGCATTAGTGAATCTAAAAAGTAACCTTTTTCCCCCTTGTTTAGGGGATTCTTTCTTTTCCAGTGTGCAGCAGAAGCACTAGGACAAAGTCCACGCAACAGAGGAACTCTGAAAGTACCTGTGGAGAGTTGTCAATAATGATAACACGTGCCAGATCACGGCCAAGGACTGATAAATCTTTAAGGTAATTGCCATCCACAAAAACACATGATTCCCGGAAAACACGATGGCGAAATACTCTCCTCTTTGGATCAAGCACATTTAGAAGTTGCTCTGCATAAATACTTTGACTTGCTGTAAATATAATAATCTCAAAAAGACTGGAAACTCTTTCCATAAAATCTCGTAGGTGAGGACGGCATCTAACATAAACAGTATGTTCCTGGAGATTAAAATTTACAGGGAATGTGAAGTCTGCATCATCACAAGGTTCTAGCGAGGAATGAACCAAAGTTTCTGCCAAGCAATAAAATTCGGTCAATACCCCAAGGTAATCATCACCAATTATAGGTAGAAAATTCAAAGCAAAAAAAATGTTAAAAACAAACGAGCCTAGATTAAGGAATTGGAATGACACCTCAAAAGTAAGCTTAAACTTTTTTAAGCAAAAAATCAGTTGTAAGTTGAGATCTTCTTAAATATTAAGACAAGGAAAAAAACAGTAAATGTTCTTTCAGTGCCTATTTTCCACTAATATTCCCACAACCAACACAGAATTATAACTCAATATATCAGTATGTCAGTGACCAAGCAATGTAAATTCAGTTTGGAATTCAGATTTTGTGACTTATTACTGCAGACATGAGCTGCCATGAAATTGACTTAACAGCTGTCAGTGCTCCTTAACAATTGACTAGATAAGGCAAGAAAAAGATAAGGAGCATAAGCAGCAGAAATTTAAACAATTGAATGGAAAAGACAGAAAAAAGATAAGGAGCTTAAACAGCAGGAATTAATACAATATAATTAGCATATAGACTCTTTCAAGTCTAAGAGCTTGACAATAGATTTAAATATAAATCTAAAACTTGTTGAATGAAGACTTAAGAGTCAGAATTCAACTGTAAGTATAAAAATTCATCTAATTTAATTTTCTAGAAGTATTCTCACCATCCAAGTCCAAGACAAGAGTGGTAGGTGGGCAACTCCGGGTCTGCTTGGGTAGAAGCACAGGCCGAAAAGTAGGAACAACGGATGACAGCTCCGGTAAGTTCTTTATAAATAAATAAGGATCAAAGTCATCAAATTCCTCATAGTATTCATCCTCCAAACAGACATCGGTTGACATAGAATCTTGACCATGCTCATCAACACATTCCAATTTTGAGTTTTTCATGGCCAGGTATATGGCTGAGACTTCAGATGAAAGGAAAGCTCCTGAATCTGCATTACAAATCACAGCATTTGTGTCTACAACAAGCAATTCCTCTCCAGAAGTAGACTTAAGAGATTCTCCGGTAATATTAGCATCCAGCATATCAACCTGCAACTCCTCTATTCCCCCATCTTGATGGATTTTTGAGTCTTCCCACCAAAAGAATTCAACAAAGTCAACTATATAGAGTATATGCATTAAGGTTGCATAAGATAAAGAAAAAGAACATGACAAGTATTATGATTGATATATATATTAACCTACCTACACCTGGAATCTCCCCTCCACAATTCTTAGGTATGTGAAAGCCTGGAGAAAATATAGTACCTGTCCTATGGTGATCACTGCCCTGCAACACAATTAAAGAAATTAGCAAAATCTCAACAGCATAGATGGTTCCCTTTTTTTCTTTTCTTTCTTTTTTTCATAGGATTTTCGCATCTTTCTAATTAATTGCCCCAAGCACAAGTATAATTTAAGTAAAAATATGACAAAGAATCATAATCGCTCCTATCCCTCTGCACACGTGAAGAAGCCACATAAAATAAAATAGAGCAAGCCAAATTACCTTATGATCTACATGCGCACCATTAGCCACATAAGATCCCAGACAAGCATTGGAAGCCTCATCATGTAGAAAGCCATATCCAGCATTTAAATTTGTAGGCCCAACAGGCACTTCATTTTTCTTTGGGAGGGTTCCGGCTGAAAGTTTCATTAGTTTCATAATTTAATTCACAGAAAATTTGACAGTTAAGGACAGACTTTACTTGAAACCACGTTAAATTAGACCTATTGTACTACACGTAAAGCATTGTCACAACAATATTTTTCCTTTTAACCAAACAAAGGAACATTCTTTTTAACCACAATAAAACCTACTGAGACAAAATCAGCAATATACCAAGTTTCTGCTTCCTAGCAGATGCAATTAGCTCCGTTGCTTTCTTATCTGGTCCTTGTACCTTTTCAGATACCTTCTTCTGAGGTCTTGAAGCCTTGGGACTGGCATGCTCTCGAGAAGCATTTCTTCCAGAAATTCTTTTCTTTGTTTGCATTGCACCAGGAGTCTCTTCCCAAGCTTCAGGATACTATCACTACCCAGCGTGCTTGAAATAAATAATTAAAATTTCCCGGGTTATGATTCAAATTTCAAAACATTTAAAATACACTAAAAGTTTTCAAAACTCCTGTCATACCATGCTCTCGCCATTTAATTTGGACTGTAACAATTACAATAACAACCACATAAAATCTTTAGCTTAACATTTTTTTAACACTTAAAAGGAAAAGCAAATTTGGCATGGGAGACTCTTAGCATATATAAGCATGCTTATTCAAAAAATTTAGATATAGATGACCCAAAGCAGTCACCATTTCTCATTTAAGATTGTTTTCATTCAAAACTAGATCATACCCAGAGCCCTCCACCTAATTTAGGTGCACAAAATGCAGGCTCTAATTCTGGGACCTTAACTTACCACATTATAGCCCCTTAAGAATTCAAATTTCCCTACAACATGCAAGCCAACTTCAACATGATAAATACAACTTACCCAAACGAACAGCAAATTACTAGCATGAAAACAGTCTACATCTAAAAGTGCAAACCAAATTTGGACATAATCCACCAAGAACATTTCAGATTTGGATGAAGAAAATTAGAGCAACCCATTCTACTTAAATCACAGAATGAGGGCCGAATTTTAAAACCCTAACTACCACCAGCTCCCCAAAACAGAATACTAAACTTACAAATTTTTGTAAAAGAATCACCCAGAAATGAGAAATGCATCAAATCAACTAAATCCTATGCATTTTCGAAGAAGAATCATTGAACCAGTACAATAAATAGATCATTTCAGTTAATTTAAATCGACTTTGCTTGACCAAAAATTTGAACCCTAGAGAGAACGAAATTACATCAAAACTAAGCTGTAAGCAACAACTATTTGCTACGAACTTCAGCTAGAAGTGACTTAAACAAATATATATATATATATATAGCGTACCTGAAACAAAATCGAACCAGACAAGATCAATTAGTGAAGAATCTGAGCTCGAACTAAATGTTTCAGCAGATGAAGAAAGGAAGAGCAAACAAGTTCAAATAAAAATTTAAATAATTAGAGAGAAATAGAGTAGCAAAACTGAGTAAACTAAAACCCTAAAATTTGTTACAATTTGAGGTAGAGAGCTTTGTTTTGGGCTTTTTGTTTTTTTGGAGTTTTCCTTTCCCCCCAAAGACGGGAAAAAGAGAGGGAAAACGAAGAGGAGGATCGAAAATAATTTTCGCCTGAATTATAAGAGTTTAGATCGTAAAATAAAAATGGGGATTTTATATTTTCTTTGTTATGACGATAATATTGAAACTATTTTTCAAAATTCTTGTGCTTATCAGAAAATCACCTACTCGCCGTTGATGATGAAAAAAGGTACTCGCTATAATCGACGTGGATGGATAACGTGGCCATCCAGATATGGCGAGGGGTTGTAATTGCTATTTGGGAGAGTAGGAATTGAGCGTCACTGTGTTTTGCTTTAGCCTGATTAAGCTTCAAACGGCGCCGTGCAAGAGTGATTTCCTTTTCCAATTTGGAGTGTAGGGAGATTTTTTAATTTGTTTTTCTTTTCCTTTTTATTTTCGTCCTATTATGCGTTGCCATTTTTGTCCTAATCTTTTCTGAAGGGTGTCTATACTTCCTAAATTTATGTGAAGAGCCCTCGTTTCTTAAATAACTTCTAATTAACCCCCCAGAGCTAGGACTTAAAGCCAAGCTCAATTTATATCTATTTCTTTCTCTTTCTTTTTCAATAAATTTTATCTCTATTTTCTATTTGCTACGTAATCTAACCTTGTGTTTTTTATATGTGAAAAGCAACAATAAAAATGAAAATTAAAAATGTTGAGATATTTTTGGATTGATAAGAATGACTTATGAAAAGTTGAATTGATGAATCAGTTAAACCTATCAAAAAAATAGAAAATATTGGAATTAAAACTCTAAAACTTATTACGTTGCTTAATGTCTTAAAGAAAGCAGATTAAAAGAGAAAAAAAAAAACTTCAACAAAAAACTTGAAAAATAAAGAACGCAAACAAATATGCTTGCACTGAAAACAATATGCCGAACAAATATTTTAGCTCGATAGTTAGCTGCCACGTAACAGATTGAGAATGTGTCGACCAAATTTGTATGCTAGAGATTGGGCTGGGCTGGAATCCAGGACTCTGCAGATTCGGTACTAAATCTGCCCCGTTGCTGTTCTACCCATTTTGTCTTTGTTTTCCCAGGCCTAGATTCGTGGTGGTTGTCCACCTCTAATTGTACCGGTTAATGCAAAAGGAATTCGCTTTTTCTTTTTTAAATTAAAAAATGTAATTTCATTGTTCTTATTTCTACTTACAATACATATCCACACGGATTATATTTGGTATACAATATGATATATATGATAAAATAATAATTATTTTATATTATATTAATTTATATTTAAAAAATAATAAAATTATAAAAAAAATTATCATCTTCTTAATACAAAATAATTCAATCATTTCAAATCGAAATGAATTATTTTAAATTCATAAAATTGAACTTAAATTTACTATTTTATCTTTAAAATTATATAAATAATTTAAATTATATAAATTTAAAAAAATAATTTTGATTAATAGATAAATTATTTTATTTAATCTTTATACGATCAAGTATAAAATAAAATAATATTATTTATTTTAATTTTATTTATAATATCATTTTATCATATTTTATTATAATCTTATATACTAAATATATTCATAATCCGTAGGTGCTAGAAAATTTATATAGAGAAGTTTGTCTTACTCAAAAGGCACATGAAAAATCAAAATGATTGTGAAAAAAAAAATCAATTAAAATTAAATCTAATCCGGCATTTTAATTGGGTCATAAATGTGTGAGTTAAAATTGCAATCAATAAAGATTCATTACTTATTCAAATCTCAATTTATGCTATAAAGATTACTAAGATTGTAAATGAATCGAACCTAAGCGAACAAATATATGTTCGTAATTTGTTCATTTATTTTTAAAGTTGTTCGAGCTCAGTTCATGTTTAATAAAAAATTTGATAATTGTGATCAAGCTCTATTCATTTAAATAATAGAATGTTCACGTTCATTTGTATTCGGTTTGTTTTTGTCCAAAAATACTTTCAATAATTCATATAAAAATTTTTGAAAGAAATTATTAAAAGCATTTTTTTACCAAAAATATATTCAATAATCCATACATAAAATTTTGAAAATGATTATTGAAAGTATTTTTTGTCAAAAATGTCTTCAATAATCCCCTCGATAAAATTTTTGTATGAATTATTGAAGGTGTTTTTGTTTAAAAACACATTCAATAATCTATACAAAAAATATTGAGAGAGATTATTGAAGGTATTTTTTACGAAAAACGCTTTCAATAATCCCCTTAATAAATTTTTTGTATGGATTATCGATGTCATTTGCATTTTTATTCAAAAACATTTTAAATAATCTATACAAAAAATTTTAGAATAGATTATTAAAGGTATTTTTGATCAAAACTGTCTTCAATAATTCTTTCAATAAATTTTTTATATGGATTATCAAAGTCGTTATTGTCCAAAAATACTTTCAATAATTCATATAAAAATTTTATGAAGAATTATTAAATGTGTTTTTATTCAAAAATATTTTTCATAATCCATACAAAAAATTTTAAAAGAGGTTATTGAAAGCGTCTTTTGTCAGAAACACTTTTAATAACCTCTATTAAATTTTTTGTACTATTATTGTTAACTTATTATTATTATCAAACAAACAAATAATAAAAAAATGAGCTTTAAACATAAACGAGTTTATTTATAAATATAAATGAAAAAACAAATAACTATTTGTATTTAATTCATTTAATAAACGAACGTACAAATGATATTCAAAATCGTTATTAAACTTAATAAACGAACATAAGCAAATAAAAACTAAATATATTCATGAATGATTTATCAAAAACTCTTACGCCTCTAAAGATTATGGTTTCAAACCCGAAAGCTGGGAAGGCTTGGAGTTGGAGGTCCCAGACGTGGACTTGCTCCTTGGAATCTCTATACGACTTTGCAATTGCATTAAAGCCATTGTGGCTTTTTGTGTGAGACTTTCCAATTAAAAAAAAAAAAAACAGATTAATTTAAAAATGAAAGTTGTGTCAATAACAAAATGAGGATCATCAACCGATTGATGTTGGTTCAAGGGAAAATGTAAAAAATTTTTTTGTCGTTTATGTACGAATTTATTAAAAATTTAAGAAAAAAATAATATTTTTTAAATTCGTTAATCTTATCTAAACAAATTTTTATTTAAACCAACTTGAAAAAACAAACCATTAATTAAACTTAAAAACTCTTCTTCAATAGAAAAATTGCTGTTCATCAACATTCAACAATAAAGCTAACAACAAATTTGGCCGATCTTTATTGTTTTCTATTTTGGAGATCACTTTCGCAATGCACTAACGGAAAAGGAGTATGCACGATTTCTGATGCAAATGGCATGGCCCCCATGGCAGATGCTATTGCTAGATTATTTTTTTCATGCGGCCGGGAAGCTGTCAAATCGTCTCGTCGTTAATCAAATTTCAACTGCTGTCCCTATAATTAGTGAGCTGGACATGATAATCCAAATGTTAAATAAAAAAAAAAATCAATTCGAGGGTACGCTAATGCTAAGTGCAAGGTTTATTCAAGGAGTTGAATCAATAAAAAGGCAGATATTTTTATCAATTATTTTTAGGCGAAGCCAATATCCATCTTCACTAAAGAAAAGCATGCTCAAAATTCTTTTTTGAAAAGAAGGATGAAATAGAAGAGCAGCACATCTCAATAAGGATTCCCAGCATTGCGGGGTGGTCCCATTTCAATGAGAAATTAGATTTGTGGAGCATTAACATATTAATACATGTTTAAAATCAAATGAAAAAGCTAAAGGGCTTTGCCTTTCAAGTTGTCTGAGTATTTTGTATAGCAAAAGAAAACAGAAAAGAACAAAAAAAAAAAGCAAAGAGCTAGAGATTTGGATCTTTAAAAAGCCGAAACTTTAGGGTAGCTATATATCATGGCTTAAAATTCTTTATAATTACTTATTTAATTATATAATAATTTAAAAACAGTACTAGTTTTTAAAGAAGGTGGTTGGTCCAAAAGACTTTGTTCTAATCATGTGTTTTTTTTCAACCAATAATGCCCCCCATTTAGAATCTCTAATCGACTTTACAATTGCGTTAAAGCCATTGTGGCTTTTTGTGTGGGGCTTTCCAATATATATGCAAAAAAAAACTTTAAGAAAAGGAATAGAGGGGATATATGTTTCTTTTTCATACATGTCTTAATAATTTTGTTTTTTAAGAACCTTTCGTCATCCGTACAAATCAAGTAAATTTTGATTCCTCTGTTTAACGAAAATAGAAAGTTCTTTATTATATATATTCTAGCATCACTGAAATTTAGACAAAATTTTTATTTTTAAGTAAGATTAAGATGATTACCTTTTAAATCTTGATAAATAACGATTTTATCACAACTCAAATCTTTGAACATGAGTTTTAGAGTTATGCTCAAACCAAGATTGCAAGAAGTTAAGTTTAGTCGTGGCTCATGTGCTACTTTTAAAGAGTTTATTGGATCCTAAAGAGAGAGAGCATAAAATTAAAAAATATACATATGAAAACGATTTGTGTGTCATATCCTTCTCAAGATTCCTTAACTCGTAAAATTTGGAATGAACTGATATGATCATATGGCTATGTTATGTGACTTTAGTGTTCTCCATGTATCAATGGAGACAAATATATTGGAGCGATGCTTTTACATGCTTCTCCTTCTTCCTTTTCCTTTCTCCATAAGTTTTTTGAATTTTGTTTTTTTCTTTTTTTTTCAACGATAAAGTGACGCTGACGATGATGCCCTAACGTTTCCAAATTTCTTACTTATGAAGGAATCCTATCCAAGTTTAGTCAATTGCTGCAGGCCGGAGGATTATGCTATAAGTGACCGGTGTTAATGGGACTATTCAGCAAAATTAAGAAGCAGGATGTGAATGGATAACGTACGAGGAGGATAGAATATTTTCTATCCTTATCTCTATCATTAAATTTTTTAATTATATTTATTTTCGTATTTATATTTAATAAATATTTTAAATTTATTTTTATTTTTATTTTTGTGAGTATTTAATAGATACGAGTAATTTGTATACCTGTAATTAAAAAAAAATGAAAACCAAAATTTATTTTTTCAAAATTTTTATTTTTATTTTATCTATTTAGGTAATTTTTTTATAAATATATATTAATATATATTTTTCAATAAAAATATATTAATTTTGATTAATCTAAAATAATAATTTATATTATTTAATAAAATATTTACTTATCAAATATATATATATGTAGGGTATTAATATGGGTACGAGATACATATTATATTATTATTCTTATCCTTGTAATCATTAAAAATTTAAAATCATACTCATTCTCATACTTATAATAAAATATTCATCCATATTTTTATTTAGATAAAAAATTGAATTCTTCATTAAATAGGGATGAAATTAATATCCTTAAGTAACAGCAATACTAGAGTACAATCAAGCAATAATGACATTAGGATCAAATCACACATAAGTGATTGTAGCATCAATGGCAGCACAATATATTTGCTTAATTTTCATATTGATTTCACCGCATTTTTTGAACAGTGTGATTAAGTTTATTACACCATCAATTAAATTTAAATATAAATTTCAGTAACTTTAAAAAAAAAAATTTAATCATAATTATAATAATAATTTTTTTCAATTACAGTTATAATATTTTTTATTATTGTTTTCAATCTCATCACAATTAATCTCTATCGTCTATCCAAATGGAGCCTTAATCATCTCGAGCAATAATCCCAGCAACATGTCAAGGATATGCAATCTTAAAGTCAACTTTAGGAGCTGTCAACTGCTAATTAAACTCCAGATTTCATGCAATTAGGATCCTAATCTTTATAGTTTTATATTTTTTAATTTGTATGTGTTTGTGTATATATATTTTTGAAATATCAGTCACTAATATTAAGCTCTTCTAACACCTTATTGCTTAACTTTATAACCAGTTCCATCTTTTCTTGAATACAAGCCAATTTAAGATTTCAAGAACTTGTTCTAGTAAAGAAAAAGAAATTACTCAAACAAATTAGTAATTTCAGGGCTTTCAGCCTATCGATGTTATTGTAACAGGGGCAAATCAGATCAATACATTGCTAGACTCAAACTTAGCTAGATTAAAAAACTCAAATTTGAAACCTCAAAGCTTGAATTGATCAATTTAATTAGATTTAATAAAATTATAAATATGAATATTAATGTTTTATTATTTACTTATATATAAATATAATAAAAAAACCTCAATTAGATACTTGCAAATCTTTCAAATTATTACTTATATAAAAATATATTTACCGAATTAAGTTCCAATAATTATAAATAATTCATTATGATTTGATTAGTTTATACTCATAATTTAAAATAAAAAAAATTCAAACCATATATAATATGTCAATCGAAAACCACACTCTCATATTAGCATTTGATGACACCGGAAATTTGGAGTATTAGATATTAACTGTTTACCATTATATTCAAACATTGCAGTACTCGAATTAATAACTAAAAAAAACGGCACTAATATACAAAGTCGTCTAGGGTGCCTCTATTGTTTAACTTGCAGAGATACAACTTTCTTATTGATAGCCAGTAGAGGGTTTTAAGTTCCTAGTTAATTTCTTACCAAGTTCTTACTATATAATTCACAGTTACTGTACTTTTCACGAATCACACCCTTTTGTTGCATCATTTTAGTTTAATTTCGCGATGCATTATACTCATTAGTGCTGTTTTTCTTGCTTCATGGAACATGTTGTGCTGTTCGGGGAATCACTTGACATACTAATGGTTTTTTCATTTCAAGAGAAAGTCTCAGAGTCTCCAACAGATCGACGTTTTGCGCCCCCGGGAGCCACCTGAAAGAGTGGAGCAACCGTGCAAGCCACAATTGCACGGTGGCTAACGCTAGTGCCTTACCAGGGCAGACCCTTCGACCTGATCCAAAAGGCGCAAGCCTCAGATCCGAGCCCATGATGGAAACATCTTCCTCTTCGACAAACCTTTCAGGCCTGAACCTCCATGGATCCTTCCAAATAGATGGGTCATGGGTTATGGCCCACATGTTGACCATTGCGGTTGTGCCAGCTGGAATGAAGCACTTCCCCACATCGACATCATGGGTGGCTAGGCGGGCCCATGAGAGCAGTGGGCCCGGAGGGTGCATCCTGAGAACCTCTTTCACTACTGCTTGGAGGTAGGGGAGATTTGGGATATCAAAGTATTGAACATGGCCGCAGCGGTTGCCGATGCAAGCGTCAATCTCTTGCTGGACTTTAGCTTGGATGTCTTGGTGCAAAACCATCCTAGCCATGATCCATTCCAGGAGTATAGCAACTGTGTCGGTACCCCGAAATATCATTTCCTGAACAAATACAATAAAGTTGGTGTCTTTTGAGTAGTAATATCCAGAAAATCTACCACAAAATCCAAATCGTAGCTTATAAAAAAGATTCCCCTTAATAGATAAAAGGGCCACGAAAAAAGGACAACCAAGAACGTCGAAAGCCAAACCCATTAATTTATGTTTGAGGAATGGAATTGGCTAGGATTTGTAGGCAAGTACTGTTTTGCTGTAACTATTGGATAACCAACCTTAGTAATTATAATCTTGTCAAATGATTAAAAAAATATAAATACAAATAGCTTAAAGTGATACCAAAAAAAAAGTATCTAGCCATATATAAGTCTCAATATGGAACCTATGTAGGCATCCAAGGAACAGTGAAACACTATTGCGGGAGGAATCGGAGCGATGTCATAACGCTTCTACATCCGAATCTCGAGCCCTTTTTAGTCACTCACTTTTGTCAAAGGAAAAATTGACTGTTTGAGTAAAAAACAATTAAGTCAGTCAAAAAAAAAAAAAAAGAGAGATGAAATGTAACTTGTCTGGATTGTTATCAAGCCAAATGAAAAGCAATGCCAGACAAGTAGACATGCCGGAAGATTCTGATAAATGATAATTAAAAATTATATGATATCTCAGAGGGAAAGAGTCCTTACCCACAATACAGCAACCATGTCCGAATCACTCAATTGATCCTCTTTAGGCAAAGCTAACAAAGCAGTAAGAAAGTCATTTCCACCATTGACCAGATCTCCACCCTTTTTTCTTTCTTTCACAATTCGACCCACAACACTTCTTACTTTGCCTGACAACTTATGACACCTTCTTTTCATACCGTGAAAGTCCAAAAACCTTAGAGGGAAATAGTCCTCCCAGTTGAATAAACTTATTAATTCATACCCTTCTTTCACCATTAACCCTAGCTCCTTCCTCTCAAAACATCCAGAACTCCCAAACACACTCTGTAATATATTACTCAAAGAACCCTTTTGTAATATCTCCCTCAACTCTACCAACCCGTTCTCTTCCATTCCCTTCCTTACTTCCACCACCATTTCATCAGCCACTTGTTGGCGCAGGGACTCTAGACAAGAAATCCTCCTAGGGGAGAACATATGGTTCGCAGCAATCCTGCGAAGGTGGTGCCAGTATTTATCAGAGGGTGCAAACCCAATGGCACGTTCGAACATCAGCAAACGAGCTGACTCCTTGATTGGGCGGTCTGAAAATGAGGACCCGGAAAGGATTTCCCTGGCTGTGTCAGGGTGACTACTGATGATCACTCGCGTTGTTCCAATACTAAATGCCATGAGCCTAGATGCACCTAGTGAAGCAGCCATGTTGGCTAACTTACGATGAGCATGTGAACCCATTAGAGGCAAGGTTCCAAGCAGTGGCCAACCGACTGGACCACGAAGCTGTGGAGAGTAGACATGGTGGTTTCTCCATGCAAAGCCTCCAGGGACTAGCCAGTAGTTAAGGAAGAAAGGTGAAACAGATAAGAACGAGAACATAAGTAGAGTGAGAGGCCATGGGGTTTGGTGTGTTGTGACAACATAGCAAAAGAGCAACAGAGAGAGGTTAATTGTTAGCATCAAAAACTTCATTTTGCAAAAGTGGAAGAAAGATCGATTATAGATCAGAAAAAGCTAAAGGAATTGTCTAGAGATGGACGTTTATCGTGAGAGGATTGTATTTCGGATGGATTGTATATATAGCACGTGAAAAAGCGATTATGGCTGAGGCCTGAGGGTGTGTAGTTAGGTTTGCTAACCCTGATTAAATGAATAAATGATAAGAGCAGTACTACTCTGCGCTCATTATCACGAGCTCATAAGTTTCATTTGTTGGTTTAATACCTTTCTTTTTTTAATAGGCTTAGATTTTCTTCGTCAAAAACCTGTTTCATAAAGTCCTCCATTTAGACCTTTGGATTCCACTTGAAAATAAAGCAGAAATTTTAAATGGTTCACCTGTACTACTGTTTTGCTTTTCAAAACATAGTAGTCTGCATGCTGTGATTTACAGCTAAGAAACTCCAAGTCCTCATATCAATTAGATTTTAATGTGAAAATCTATTATATTAATCTTTGGTTATTTAAGTATGGATGCCATTGATATTGGAGAATAGAGATCAAATAAATGACATGAGAGGGACAGAAGCTGGTCCATTTGTAGTTTAAAAGGGCTTATTCAACGGCTGGTGTGAAGTCAGGTGACTGGAAGAGGGCCATGCATCTCACATGGCAAGAACGAGCTGCAGGCAAAATCCAGGAACTGGACTGAAGCCATTTCTATACGGAACAAGTACAGATAATTGCGAGAAGAACAATGATGAGGCTAGCTTAAAGACCAACGTCCTTAAGGCTTAAGCTTTTGTCAGTACACCTGACAAAGTGTGGGATAGTAAAACACTAAAGCATTGGGAATGGATTCTTGCTTAAATAGAACAGAACCCATTTTTTTACCTCAAATAACCAAGGGCTTTTTTGGACGCGTGCCGTGGAATCCAAGGCCATTTTGGTCGCTAACCACATTATGGGGTTTGGGGTGTACTTCATTGACACTTAGGTGTTCGTTCATTTTTCAACCGGAGGAAAAAGGCTCATTGAATCATTGAATTTTAAGTACAGTCGATTACTTTAATAAAAAATTAAAATATACTACAATCTTAACGTTATTTTTATATTTACATTCAAATATATATTTTTATTAATAATTTAAATATTATTATTATAATATTTAAATTTATCATTATAATAATTAATTTTATTATATCGTTATTTTTAATCTCGTTAAAATCCAATCCCACCATCATTTAAATATACCTACACAAATCATCAATTACTCTAACATATTACTAAAAGCTATGGGCAGAAGGTGGACCACAATAATACCAATAATAATAAATAATTCATAATCTAATGGTCAAAAACATACTTGCACTTTTAAATTTTAGAATATCTCGTGGAGGGCTTATGTCCAAACATTGAGAAGGAAAAATGTTGATGAATTTTTGGATATGTTGGCTGGATGCTTTGTTGAAGCTTGTTTAATGATTGATTTGAAAGTTGAAGTGATTTGTAATAGAAAGAACATCAAAGTTGGATTTCAAAATATACTCCGACACCAAAATCAATAAAGAATAATAGATGAAGAAAGTTAGATAAGAGAAGTAAGAAAACAAGTAGACACAGGTGGAAGTAATACGATGGGGTTTGAAATGAGATATTTGTGTTCGACTTTACTTTTATAACGAATAAATACTATTGTGATTAGTTAATTTATTTTGATATGATTAATTGATTTATTTGATATGATTAAGTGTTGAAGTAATTAAGATGATCGAGTTAACTTGGTAATCAATTAATATTAATTAAATATTAATAAGTGATTGGTTCAATTGATTAAATTTATTTTTTTTTTAACGAAAAATTTTAAATTTGAATTTTATCAATGATAATTTATTGGATCATTTTAAATATACGATTTACAATCATCTATTTTAAGTTGTGAGGTACGATTATATTTTGTTATGATCTAGAGACTAAATAATTTATTTATCATCTAATTTCTTTTTTTTAAAATATTAATTAAATAATTAAAATATTAATCAGATAATCAAAATATAATAAAAAATAAAAAATATTTATACAACGACAAAAACCTCCACATATATTAAAATTCACCATCATTGTCACTTTCAAATGAATCCCTATTGAATACTTTAGTAATTATACCTTAGAATTAAAAATTGTAAATTTTAAATTGGAATTTTTGAAATGAAAAAACATAAGATTCACGAGATTCAGATGAAAGAAGATTATTTTTTGTGGAATAGTTCAGCATCATGTTCAAAAGGAACAAAAGGTACCCTCCCAACCTAAAAGCTGAAGGGGAAAACACTATTTGGCTCCATTTCTCTGCCCTTCATGAAGGGGATACAGAAATTCCTAGCGTCTTTAATTATATTTAGTGGTACTACGAACGTCGGGGATATTTGTCTAGAACAAGATTTCTTGTTGGTTCATGTAGACATCCAATTGGGTCCAAGCTCAGATCAATTGAGTTTGGCTCAAAAGGGTAAGTCCAATTCAATTTCTATCTGATATTATTTTTATTATTTTTTTTTCTTTTTTTTGTATTTTATGTATTTTATTATTTATTATTATTATTATTGTGTATTAATATATATATTTATTTTTTTTGTTAATATTTATATGTATTTTATTTATATAGTTATATTTGTTATTATTATGTTATCATTATTATTATCATTATCATTTTTTTTTTGGTAAATATTTTTGGATTTATCTTAATTTATATTTTAATTATCTGTTAATTTTATTTTATTCATCCATCTGATTTTGTTCGATTATCTGATAGTATTATTATTATTTTTTTTTCTTTTTTGATGGCTAAGATTAAATGTTGAAGAATCCTACTAGGAGTGGAGATTCAATCAAAAGAGTTCAATTGGATTCAAAGATTGAATCTCCGTCTAAGGAGGAATTGGGATTGATCAGGAACTCCTGATCAACCCTTATAAAAGGCACCCTCCTGGAACAGATGAAGAACACACAGAAAACAGTAAGTAAAGCTACTGATTTGAGAGAAAAGGAGACGTATAGTGAGCTAAGAAAAGTTTAGGAGTGTTTTGGGAATGAGAAAAAATTTTTAGAAATTTTTGGCAAAAAATTTTTTTGAAAATTTCTGGGAAATTTTCAGATTCCGGTGAATTTTTCGACAAGGGTTGAATTTTTCGACAATAATTCTGGCCAAATTTGAAGTTTCCGGTGACCTGCCCAGTTTTCGACGAAGAATCCCAGAAACCGATGATCTTTCGGCAACTTCCGGCGAACTTTCGATGAAATTTTCCAGATTTCGACGACAATTTTCAGAATCTGACGAAATATCCACCGGAGTTCTTCAGCCCTTAGAGAGAAGGGAGAGAAAAAGGGAAGAAGAGAGAGAGAGGGGAGGGATGTTCTGCCGAAAAATGAAGGGGACTGCCTTTTATACCCTCTCAAAACGACGTCGTTTTGGCTTTAAGTTAATCAGAGGATCTGCGCGTTTTACCGAAAACTCGACCCGACCCGAACGTCGACCCGCTTCTTGACCCGCGCGTGCCAGCCCCCCTTCGAGCCGAGCCAAGCTGCCGAGCCAAGCTGCCAAGCCGCACCCCTTGAGCCGTTTCCCTGCCTTGAGCCGAGCCGAGCTGAGCTGATAGCCAAGCCGCTCCAGGTTTTTTTTTTTTTTTAAATTTATTTATTTATTTATTAGATTAGGTTTATTTAATATTTTTTTTATCTTTATTTTATTTTTAATTTTGTTTTACTTTTTTTTTATTTATTTTTATTTTTATTTATCTTTTTTATTATTCTATTTTCTTTAAATAAAAATAAAAAATTCCAAAAAAAAATATTTTTAAGGAAAAGTTGAAAGTATCAATTTTCTTTAAAAATAAATTTCAAAAAGGGTTTTTGAGGAAAAGTTGAAAGTATCAATTTTCCTTGGAAATCAAAGTTTCAAAAAAAAATATTTTTGAGGAAAAGTTGAAAGTATCAATTTTCCTTAGAAATAAATTTCCAAAAAATATTTTTGGGAAAAAGTTGAAAGTATCAATTTTCCTTAAAAATAAATTTTCAAAAAAAAAAAAAAGGTTTTTGAGGAAAAGTTGAAAGTATCAATTTTCCTTGGAAATCAAAGTTTCAAAAAAAAAATTTTTTGAGGAAAAGTTGAAAGTATCAATTTTCCTTAGAAATAAACTTCCAAAAAATATTTTTAGGGAAAAGTTGAAAGTATCAATTTTCCTTAAAAATAAATTTTCAAAAAAAAAAAAGATTTTTTAGGAAAAGTTGAAAGTATCAATTTTCCTTAGAAATTAAAGTTTCAAAAAAAAATATTTTTGAGGAAAAGTTGAAAGTATCAATTTTCCTTAGAAATAAATTTCCAAAAAATATTTTTGGGGAAAAGTTGAAAGTATCAATTTTCCTTAAAAATAAATTTTCAAAAAAAAAAAGATTTTTTAGGAAAAGTTGGAAGTATCAATTTTCCTAATCAAAGTTTCAAAAAAAATATATTTTTAAGGAAAAGTTGAAAGTATCAATTTTCCTTAGAAATAAATTTCTAAAAAATATTTTTGGGGAAAAGTTGAAAGTATCAATTTTCCTTAAAAATAAATTTCAAAAAATATTTTTAGGGAAAAGTTGAAAGTATCAATTTTCCTTAAAAGTAAATTTTCAAAAAAATATTTTTTGGGAAAAGTTGAAATTATCAATTTTTCCTACACAAGAACAATCATCCTCTCATTCCTTTCTATTTTGATTTTGATTTTGATTTTGATTTTGATTTTTCTTTAATTAATCCGACGACGGAGCCTCTGCAAGTGAAACAGTAGTTTTTCTTGCATACTCTTGAGGTGAGGGAATTTTCTCAATTTTTTGCTAAAAGTATTAGAGTCAATTGAGAAAAATTTCCAATAATTAATTACTTGGTAAAATTTTAAGGCTCATTGGATAACACAAATTTAAGTTGGTACCATCTTTTGATGGGCGTTGTGAGGGTGCTATAACCTTCCTCACACGTAACCGAACTCTCAAACTCTGTTCTGGTTAGTAGACCTAAACCTATTCTTTTAGGGACCCTTAAGCT